TTCCCCACAAGCGCGGTCCCCGATTGCGAGGGAACACGGCTATATTTTCCGAATTTTATGCGTTAACCCCCGTGTAAACGCACTTTTGCCCCAAAAACGCGTGTAAAGGCGTAAAAACAAACGCGAATAGTGACCGCATTGTTTGTGCACGAGATATTAACAATGTTGTCAGGCAGAAATTCTCATCTATAAAAATTGCTGTCACTATTTGTGTTTATTTTTACGCATTTACACGCGTTTTTCGAGCAAAAGTGCGTTTACACGGGGGTTAACGCATAAAATTCGGAAAATATAGCCGTGTTCCCTCGCAATCGGGGACCGCGATTGTAGGGAATACACGCCCACTTTCTTCGATTTTCACACGCTTTTTTGGGCGTTTACACGCGTGTTTGGCAATTCTTGTCTGCTCGGGTTATGTTGAATTGTATGCTTTGAAAACATTACATATCCTTATTTACAACTGTGTATTACATATTACATGTAAAATTAGCACTAGAATGACAAAAGATGCTATCCAATGCTATTAAACGTCTCAGTGGTACTTATTAGCATTTCTTCATAAAATGATTGATTTCTTTCGCATTAATAACCGTTTCTAATAAGCGCTAAAAAGTGAATATCTAGCTTACATATTCTTCATCAAAATTGGCAACAATAATCATTACTTTTGTTCGTATATCAAGATTAAAAAAGATTTAAGGTATTTCCTTAACTTTGAAAATAGATATTTTATCGTCTTTCTGTATATAACCTAATATACAAATTAAAATCTATGCATTTTTATAAATTTGAATTTAGAAAATGAAAAATACAGTCAAGGAATGACTTTTGAAATTAATTAAAGATTTAAGATTAACTTACCAGTTTATCATCACTATATTCGATGCTTGCGCGGCCATATAGGAGGGAAAATCAAAAATGAAAATAACTCAGCTGGCATAGAGTCAACGATAAAAAGGAATGAACAGTGATTACTTTTTTCTCATGACTTATATAATAGTTGTTTCTACTGAACTTTGGTCGACCTTCACATTCCTTCTTTGAGAACGAATAGTTTCATCTCATATTGAATAACGGCACGTTGCAAGGACATAGTTTCGAAGCACCCCCTTTAAAAATTCTTTTCTCATTCTCATGCATCTTTACATGTAGATAAAATGAATAATTCATATATGCGTCGGTCTAAAATACCAATTTTCAAGTGTTCTCTCATGTAAATCAGTGGGAAGAATGCTTTCCCACCTACATTCCTTCCCAGAAAAGGCCAAAGCTCATTTTCTTTCAACGACTATATAAACCAGCACCATTTTCATTACAATATTCATTTTTCATCTGCTCCAAAGGTAAGTTCTATACTTCTTCTAAACTACACATTAACACTATTTCAAATTATCTACAGGTCCCATACAGCAAATTCGGATAGAAATCAATTATATTAAAGTATACAAAAATACAATCTAAAGAAATTTCACATCCGTCACAAATCAATCAAGTATCTTCAATTCATCAAAACTGATTTTCATCCGAAAAACCTCCAAATTCAATACACATCAGTCTTCACTTCCAGCCAATACCAACGACAATTGAGAATCAAATTTAAAACCACCAATTCATAACTAAGGCGAAAATTATTACAAGCATCCACATTCATATATTGTGATTTCAACCTAGCCAACCACCACGAAATCCACAAATCTAAGGTAAGCCTGAAAGCCATTCTCTATCAGACAAAAGGAGTGGTTCAGCTAGGTTAACCCAGTACTTCGCGCGTAAAAAAACATAACAGTCAACAGTTTATTTAGTATATCGTAGAAAGAAATATATTCTCCTTCAAAACCGTTGATTTCGATTATACCACAGCACGAGACCAACGCAGAAAAAGCTAATATCGCAAATATTCTTTATCTAAAACAAAGCTTAATAGTCTAAAAAAATTTACCACGACAAACTTGATAGTACGAGAGCACACACACCATACAAGAGGAAACATAGTATGACGATATAAAATATCGATAAACATTCCCACTTTTTCTAATACAATTGATGAACATATTTCATTTCTACTGATTTTGTAACAGAATAGTTCAATTTTGCTTTGATTTTGTTTGAAATAGACTTTTTTGTCATGAAAATGTTTATTCTGAATTAAATCGAGTGAAATTAACCCTTTCCGGCCGGCTACCAGAAAACAGCAAGCAACAGATTTCCTTTACATACATTCTTGTTAGTTTAGTTATAAGAATCAATTTTTCCGCTCCGAATTTTTAGAGAATCTCGTACCCGCCTACGGCAAAATTGTTGCCTTTTGGCAACATCCGGCCGGAAAAGGTTAAGAGCCATCTGATGAGTCTTCTTGAGCAAAAGACGAAACCGGTCATGGCAGCTCTACTCACACCCTTGTACTGAGTACATGTACTTATCATTTCGTCGTAATTTTTAGATAAATAATTGTAATAAAAGAATTAATTTAAGAACACCTCAGAAAGCATTTAGTACAAGTACTGTACTTAACGTCCAATCTCTGCTAATGAGAGCATTGTTCGCTATCGCAGAAGAAACCAAACTCGTCGCCCGATCAATAACTGCTTTAATTACGTTCACTGGATTAATCATTTCGCATTGTATATGATAAAAAAGAGATAAGTGCTGTAATCTATCTCGCTTGTATATTGTAAAAAATCGTAGAAAAACAGACGAACGCGTATCACAGACTACACGTGAAACGAAACATAGGAAGAGTGCCACCGGAAGAACAGAAAAAAGTCAATATAACGAATTTATCACGAGTGCATGATGGTATGTGGTAAAGAGAAAATCACAACTATCATAGTTAATCATTCTCCATCACTCATCAATGATTAATCTTGTTTAGCTTAAAACCAGAGAAAAATGAGAACCTTCATACATGTTTTAGAGTAATGAAGAGCGAATCAGATCGATATGGATCAGATCGATATGGATCAGATTGAGCTTACTGACGACTCGCAGTAGACAGCCTAAATGATGAGCGAAATTAAAAAGTTTCTCAGTCTGATACTAGGGAACCGCAAAGTGGACCCGGTCCTACGGGACTGAAGCCAGGACCGGGACGGAGCCGGAACCAGTTTGATTATTTTTGTCGGGACTGCGACGGGATCAAAATACTTCTTGAAACAGAATTTTAGTAATTGTTTTTTTTCCTTGAAAAAAGTGTTAACCCTTTTCGGATATTGAAAATAAATCTGAAACAACTACTTCTATGAAAAATAAACATCTTCGTATTACTTCTAAAATAGCAAATATATAGTTGCATAGAGACTTTTTGTGTACTCAAAAAGTGAGTATACTATAGAATCGGTCAGTATGTCCGTCCGGCCGTTAATCCGATAACTCCTGAAAGAATAATCCAATTTGCATGAAATTTGATACATAGCATTATCTTGTAAATGCCTCGGTCGAGTTCGATGATGAGCCCAATCGACTGTAATACTTCTAGCTTAAAAAAGAAATTCTCAGATTTTTGTGTGCCATCTGATACACTTTTTGAAGTACACACAACTTTCGGATAAAGTCCGAAGTTTTTAACTTTTATGACGATCGAGACCGGGACCATAGAAAAGTAATTATGTGGTTCCCTACCTGATACTCCATCAATCTCAAGAAAACGATTTTCCCTCAATTCCGCCATGTCTTCGCGTGTATCTTCGAAGTTCGATATTTTGAAAGAGAGGGCACGAGGGGATAAATCCTTTTGAGATTTTTCATACCTCATTGAGGTCTACCTGCGGCCAAAAGGTGGGATCTAAACCGCTTGAATACCTCGGTATTTTCCCTCATAAAATCTGAAGTTTTCGCATTTATTATTAATTAATCTCTTGCTTCTATCTTACATTTCGAATCAGTAGAAAAACAAATCTGGGTGTTCGAATGTACTCTGCTATTTTTTTTGCTTCTTGTCGTATAGATGCAAAAATTCGTATCTAGTCAGACTTGTTTGTTATAAAAGAGCAAAAATTAACGGAATGAAGGTTTCATTTTGCGATGAATATGATTAATTGTTTTGCGCAAAGAACAGTTTATAGTATATTCCTCGTTGTTGCAGCAGTTCAGCATGAGTACCATTTTCAACCACACGTCCCTCGTCGAGTACATAAATGACGTCGCATGAGCAAATGGTCGATAGACGATGCGCAATTATTATCGACGTTCGGCTAAGATCTTCTGCTTGAGCTTGATCAAGGGTGTGTTGAACAATCTACAATGAACAAAATAACATAATAAGCAAATATATCAACCAAAGAAGCGAAGACTAACTTGTTCATTATGAGAATCCAAGGCACTCGTTGCTTCGTCCAGAAGCAAGACCTTTGGCTGACGAAGAAGTACCCGTGCAATGGCAATACGTTGTTTTTCTCCACCAGACAAAAAGCTACCTTTCACGCCAACTCTCGTCTCATAGCCCTATGTACGTGTAATTATTAGTAATCATCGGCGTGACTTCGAAGATGTTTACTTGTGGTAGTTGTTGAATAAAATTGTGAATATTAGCTTTTTTCGCAGCCTTGATAATCTCTTCCATGGAAATGTTGTCTAGTGCATATGTAATATTTTCTGCTATGGTCAAATCAAATAAAACAGGCTCTTGACTAATAAGACCAAGACGAGAACGAAGCCATTTAATGTTCAATTGTCGGATGTCTACGCCGTCAAGAAGCTAAACGCACAAATTTGCTCAATTAATGCTTAGTGCTAATTTGTCACCTACCAATTGTCCTTGTGTAGTATCATAGAAGCGTTCTAGCAGCTGAACAATGGTCGATTTTCCACATCCAGATGTACCTATGTGATTGATGTTATATGGTGACGACAAGTGAATATTTCAACTTACCAACAAGAGCCACACGTTGGCCTAACCGACAATGAAAAAGAAGAGAATGTTTCAAATAAATATTATTTGCTTGTTTTTTTACCAGATTTTATATTTATTTGAAGTTTATTCAAAATCACAGATGTCGATCGTGTTGGATAGGCAAATTTCACTTTATCATAGTCTATATTGCCATGAAAGCGCGCCTGATAAATAACACGTAGCATACCAGTAGCTAATGAATTGTCCTCTTACTAGTTCTTGTCCTTGAGTAGAAGTATTGTCGATTGATGGCGTTCGATCAAAGAGGTCGAAAAAGATATTGGCAGCAGTGATAGATGATCCAATACGATATGATCTAATATTATCCCGAAGTGATTTATCTGTGTAATAGGCAATTTCGTTGCTTACAAAATAGCAATAAGTTTGATCGATTGTGTTGTAAATGTAATAAAAGCAAAAACTCTAGAAAAATTTAGAAATAAAACGTTCGATTCCCATTTTAGTTCAACTAGTCATTTCATTACGTGATGATATTCTCCATAGGTAACTGATTGCTTTTAACTAGCGCGAGAGAACAGTAAGAGAGAAGAACTACGATGAATGAATCTAGGTCCCAAGATGCACTAAGCGATATAGCATTAATAAGATCCGATCGCCATGATACTCTACATAGAAATCGTAATAAAAAAATTGGAGAATGTTAATCTTCTTATTAATCACTACTCAGTCGATTTTTAAGCCTTACTTTGGAATTTGCTGAATCAAGTCAGTATACTGACGTAAAATTTCGTTCTCCGCCGAAAACTGCTTTACCGTACGCATATTGTTAATGGTTTCCATGGCAAGCTTAAGTCAGAGGAATATTCATAAAGATCCTTGCACACTGAGTGAATGAAAAATAGAACATCACTCACCGAACTCGCTCGACTGTAGTATGTATCCGATTCTTCCTTTAATGTTTTCATTATTTTTATGCTTACGCAGATGAAAATGCCCAAAAGTAGAAAAGGTATAAAGGCTATTACGGTCAATTTCCAGTTGAAAATAAGACCAAATATAAGACCGAATATGAGTAAAGACAGAGCTTCACAGACGACACCTAATCGAGTACCAGTCATGTCTTGTAAGGCGGCAGCATTAGAAGACAGGCGAACACATATAGCAGTCGAACTATTCTCGGGTCGATCAAAATAATCTACTTCTTGACGAAGGAGACATGAAAATGCTTTTGAACGAATACGTTGAACTAATTTTGATCCTGATATGGCAAAAGCCACATACTATTCGTAAAAAGTAAATAGTGAGAGCTGAAATATTGCTGATTGTGGCGTTAGTGAAAAATATTTACCTGAGCCAAAAACAGTAGCATGACTATTACACCGAGAAGTAGAAAATATGAACTGGCCATTAGCACTCGATAGCTAGTGTCAGCGTATCCACAGTTTTTAAATGCCTATGTATAACACAACACCCGATTTATGCTTTTGTCGGAAAATCTTTCTCAATATTGTCACTACTTACAGTAACGATTTTAGTCAAGAGTATCGGGAACACTGATTGGCTTAATCCATTTAATACACATGCTATACAACCAATAAGCATAGTGATCCATTCCGGACTATTCATGGCTAAAAGCCGTCGAAAGATATTTTTGCGAGTAGACGATGTCTGATATATCTATAGAAGAGACCATAAGTTATAATATTAAAAATATCAGTTTGTAGATACTTCTTTCTCGGTGGTGACAAGTTCGACTTGACTCGATGCACGGGATCGTTGCGCTATACAACAGGCCAGATTAAAATAAAGCTTAATTAGTTTTTTACGGGTGGACATCTTTAGGTGTTGCAGTGCTCTTCGGTCAGGATTCTATGCATTATTCAGCTTTTCACCGACTGAGGATCCGGTTTTAAATAGCCGTCCTCATAGTTTCATCCGAAACAAATGTGTAACACAACAAGCCTTCAAAACTGCGATTATGATCAACCAGTCTAATCCATGAAAATACACTGTAAAAAAGGTGCACTACCGAACCTATCAAAAAGGCTTCGTAGGTGTCCAAAACTTGCAAATGTGTCAACATGTAGGAAGAACTGGTTTTCAAAATCTACCAAACCAAAATCGGATCGGTCCGTAGGCAGTCTATCCGAGCCATCTTTTCACAATTCTTTTTTGGTTTCGTAGATTTGGAAAGCCACTTCTTCCAACATTCCGACATATTTGCAGCTTTTGGCCATTTCCGAAATCTTTTTGATGGGTTTGGTAGAATACCTTATTTTTTTCAGTGTAGCGAGATCAATTTACAAATATATACGTAAATCATCCCTCACAGTCAATAAGGGAATTGTAGGTTGATTCCATGAACTATAAAAAGGGTTTATCAATATGTGAAGACGTATTAAGAGTACATAGAGAATTTTCAATAGGCTCCAAAACTCTTGTGTGTTTCGTCAGGAAAAAATAATTTATCAAATAATAGGAGAAGCTCATAAACTCACTGGGGACCATAATTCTTTTGGAAGATTTAGTACTCCTCACATTTTTCTCAATAACGTTTCTAGCGAGATGCGATAGTTTGCAAACATTTTCTCCAGAAGGCATCTATTCTTCAGTACAATCATGTTTTCTGATTTTGACACGAAAGTGTGTCTATATAAATATTTCGACTATACTAACTTCTTAAATCAATCCTCAAAGCCTTCTAAAAATCTTTTAAAACTCATAAATACTCACGAGGAAACTTCCCCAGGTGTTCAAGTAGGCATGCACCAATCCCGATTCCAAACAATCCGATTCCGATTCTAGAGTTGGAATCGAATGGCATTGGTTGGAACCGGCTGGGATTGACTGGATGTGATTTGAAACTAACGTGGCATAGTTAAGAACTATGTGAGATCTAACAGGAAAGTAATTCTAAATACTTCTTGTTGCTGGAAAGGAGGGGGCGTATAAGGGCCTATTTTCGACCCTATCATTTTTCACACTACATTCACTTTCATGCTTCACAGATTGAAATATTAGAAGCTACTGATCATTTTAATATTCAACAAGAAGTACTTTCGGTGGACTATAGGTGCACACAACACCTATCTTCGCTATGTATTAAATGCCTGAAAAAGCGATTCACTAGTGAATATAGTTAGCCTCGTTGTGTAAGAAAAAGAATCGAAATATCCACTGGTTCATAACTCTATAGATAGACCTGCGTCTAAGCTTCATTTTCATAGTGGAATAGTTAAGCAAAATAGTTTTTGTCTTGGCTCCAGCCGTTGCAAATGCTGTAGTCTACGTAAGAATTGAGTGAAACATCGTCTTTGTGGGTTAGATAGTGATTCAATAGAATCAGCACCCTCTTTCTTTTATATCGTGATTGATAGACCTTCAAAAACTCTACAAAATCAGCTATTTTTTCGGCTTTGAAAAAGTGGGCCCGGGTATCAAATCCCGGACATACTCTATTTTCTAGCCATTTTTTTTCATTTTTCGCTAGTTTTCGCTCGATTTACTCAATAAATGCCCTGAATTTACCCCCTGAAAATGTCATATTTGAGATCAGCGCGAAAAACGGGGTCGATCTATATATCTTTCAAATTGCTTCTCTGACTTTCATTTTTGGTCAATCCTCGACCCTGAGGTCCCCCTGTCCGAAACTTGTATTAGTCTGAGTTAAAATTAATAATCTATTTCAGTCTATCTCGGATCAATTCCAGCCAATTCTGGATCAATTCCATTCGATTCTAGAATCAGAATCGAATCGAATCGGGATTGTTGCATGCCTATGTTCCCAAGATATCGAATTCTCAAGATCTATACGAAAAGGGATCGAAATGAAAATCTTGAGTTTTTGAAAAACAGTAGAGCATTCAGGTGAATTTTTTAAAAGCTTTGCGCACTACTCGTGC